AGAGTCTGACCATGTATCAGAAAATTTACATCATTGGATAGGTAAGCTAATTGATTATTTATTTTTTTTTAAATCATACTAAAGATAAGATTATTATTATCATCATATTGTTAATTGATCAATCAATTAATTAATAAAAATATAGATTTGATTTTTGGATATAAACAAACTGGAGAAGAAGCTGTTAAAGCATATAATGTATTTTATTATTTAACATATGAAGGTGCTATTAACATTGAAAGTATTCAAGATCCAATTGAAAGAAAAAGTATTGAACAACAGATTTATCATTTTGGTCAGACACCCACTCAACTTCTCAAAGAACCACATCCTAAACGATTTCCTAGTAAAAAATTTTTGAAAAAAAATTTGTTGAATTCCTTGGATAGTCAGGAATATTTCTCATTGAAATCTAATAAACTAGTTTTTGTTGATTTGCCATCACCTGACTTTATGAACTTTTCTGCCATTGATTTACAACAAATTATCACTGTTGATGAAAATGGATTAGTTGGTAAACATAATCTTTTGCCTAAACCAACAGCTCCAGAAATAAAAAGATTTGAAGTAGATCCTGGCTTACAGTATAAAAGGTTAGTAGTAAATATCCATATATAAACTTGGAAAGATAATTTTTTAAAAATTATTTTTTATTTTTGCAACCTTTAGTCAATTGAATAGTCCATTTTCTTTTGATGTAAAAATTACACCAAGAAGTTTCGCATGTAGTAAAGATGGGAAAGTTCTTATAAGTTGTGGACATTGGGATAATTCAATAAAAGTTACATTGACAGAGACAGGAAAGATTAACGACAGCATATCAGGACATAATGATATCCTTTATTGTCGTTGTTGTTATGCCGCTATTATAATTAGTATAATAATCAAGAATTAAATTAAAAATCCAAAATATTATTTCTTAACCACTTTGTACATACTGTAACAACTGTAGGGATCAGTGAAGATGGAAGAATTGTTGTTACAGGTTCAAGGTCTCCTGATTTGTTATCTTGGAAGATCAATATGACTGATGATTTTGAATTTTTAAATATTGAACATACACCCATGCAC